ACAAATATACCAAAAGAATCGCCATCTTCCATTCTATAGCTCGGAGCAGTCTCGGGAAATTGCAAAATAATCTAAGCCTATTATGGCAATTCTCGTGATCGGAAAGTGTTCGGCCAACTTCGGACACCAAATTCTTGGTAAAGCATTACAGTTTCCTGGTAAAAGACTGTAGGAATCACTTCCGGAGTGTTTGTTTACCCTAGATACGGATTTTGATTGGCTTAGGCAGAAAAACAAATCTTTTAGAGCAATTTTCCTGATTATCGCGCACGGGAACGCACAAGCGTTGTAATGTATTGTATTTGTTTGAATCGCATTCTGAAGACGTTTTTGGCTTTATTTTGCAAACTGATAGTGCTAGTAATGATGGAATGTCTTCGTACAAAGACAAGTATCTCAACCTGGCATTGGGAGTTGTGTCTGGAGTTTCAAGGCAAGTATTTGTATCATTTCTAGACAATTTCTATTTCAATGTTTTGCTGTTGCCATGGCGTTGTAAATTTATTTGTATTTAGTATAGCTTCACTAGTACGACCAAGTATGTCCTCATATCGCTTTTTTGTGTTGAAATAATCGTTTCATACTGAAATTGACAAATATAAATGGTATTTATTTATATTGTTGACGAAAATTTATGGTGTTTTAGGCATAAAAATCTCTTGATTCCTAGGCGAAGTAAAATGAGCCTTGAGCACATGTTTGGTTGTTTTGTTACATACATAATAGCCAAGTATTCAAACTTATATCTTATAGTTGGCTCTTATTATAATTTTAAGTGGCACCATGTCTATAAAAGTTTTTATTCGCACTGATGAATATATTGATCCTGTTCCTATCTGTTGTTCCTGTTTCATAGCCTCAGGGAAGTAGAGTTCTGATGAGTCATGAGAACCCCACTCACCAACCCAGAGGGAAGGTAGGGGGATGAGTAGAGGGAAGCCCAGCCATTAGGACCTAAGGTTTTAAAAGCTCCCTGTCTAGCATCCCCACTAGGCCCCATAGTACATGACGGATATGATGATCCAGACGCCAGGAATGTTCTCCCAGATTTTGCTCCTGACTGACATGTCCGGGATCCATTTCGATCAACTGTGAGCTTTTGAGTTCATTCGGCTCAATGAACTGTGAGCTTGAGTTCATTCGACTCTTTTTTACTAAGGGAATGCTTCAGGAGGTAGTTTCCTGGCCATACCAATACATATGCCCACATACAAATAACTGAAAAGTTATCCCCATATACTAATAAAAAAGGGTCTTGCAGTCCACCAACCTTGAGAGGTTGATTGCCTTTTAGTATAATATGCAGGTTTGCTAAAGGTCGACAGTGAGATTGAAAATTATTGGAGTGTAAAAACCTTATATCATGGTCTGTGGGCAATAGACATAATTTCTCGGGTTAGGTACAAATCGCTTATGGCGTTTGTGAATATGGTAGATCCTGTACTAAAGACTACAGCAATAAACTGCATCAACAACTGTACCAGCCGTCACAGAATATTGTTGTTGCAGACAAACACACTGTCAAATCAAGAAATAGGTTGGGGTTAGGCAGTTCATGAAAGCTAGATGACCTACTATGTGGGGAATAAATCTGTGGGTTGCTGCAGACAATCCTAATGGTTATATTGCGACTTTGAAATTTATACAGGAAGAAGTCCAGATATTCATCGCAACAGATTTGGGTATGACGTGGTGATCTGATATCAGTTTGGTATATCTTTTGTAGTACAATATAAAGGAAATATTTTCACCACATAATCCAATTATGTGCTTTGGCAAACATTACTGCTTTAGCAAACATTACTGCCTTGGAAAACATTACTTTTTTATAACTACTAATTATGATGATGCCAGCCCAACAACACTTGGTCATGCTATTTGCAAATATTTTCATGTTCTAGATTGTGAAAACAATCAATTTCTAAACAAATGAGTAGTGATTATTTCAAATTTGAATAGCATGACCAAATTTTGAGGCTGGTTATGCCACTAATAACTAAAGTCAATGGTGTAATGATTATCTAAGAATGTATGTAGTAATTGCAGAAATAAAGACATTTTGCTAATCATGATTTGAGTGTTCTTTTGTGGGTATCACAGACTTATTTTGGTGCCATACTATCTTTGGAGAGTAAGAAATATTGAAAATTTGTATTGATAACATGTTGGAGCAATAAAAAAGGACCTTTGATAAAGGTATTTGTTTCATGTGAGCACAAAATGTAAATTTTACTCCACTACCTAGTTTATATAAAAATTCAATAAAAATATTTCTATTTATGCTACATGGATGAAACTTCGGGTACTTGTAGATCATAACCGTGTCTTTCAGTCATATTCATAAAATTTTTTGACATATTTGAAATTTGAACCGCTAAATACATTTATGCATAATTGCAACATTTTTTTATATCATAATTTATGCAAATATATGCGAGTAAATCGTTAACCAAGCTCCGGATGAAATTGAAATTGGTATCGTTGGAAAGCAGAAGTCCTCCTCTTTCGAACGATGCAATTTCTGTTTCCATGCGATGTATAATTTGAGAGATATAAGCGTTTGAAACAACACCACTCGAAATTGCTACTTTTCGACCAGATGAGAATGAGTTAATAAGCATGGTATCCATTTGGTTGTAATTGCGACTAAATCATGGTCACTGATGTGAGATAGTCTGGATTTATCTTGTCTTCTGTGTGCTGTATGCAAATCAGTCTTTACTGATTGCAGAGATAAATTGACAGTGTATTATTACATCAGCTATCTTGATGTGGTTAAATACATTTAAGCAAGGTTAACGGCGAATGTTTTATGCAGGCCCTTCCAGTGAGGGGAGTCTGTGAGGTCATATCGATCAAAGGGGGTTGTTTTGTGCCTTGTGATCAGTGCTTCGGTCTGGGTATTCATTCTGCCATTGTATGTTTTGCCTAGCTGCAAAGTTTAGCGCTTAGATACCTTTTCCCTACCCACCCACCGATGTTTATTCTAGAGGATTTTATCTGGTAGTATGTCATTTTATTCTATTATTATATAATTTTTATAAATATAATTTTTAATCTTGCATAAAATAGGATGTATAGACCACTATACATTGTACTTTGTTTCCACTGACTTGTCAGTGTGACTGGTGCCGGGGGGATGCCTTGGCAGAATTGTCATGGCTATCTCCTTTTGCTGCTAATATTCACTGAATTCAATTCAATTCAATTCAAGCAATTTTTAATCAGGAAGCCTACGTCACAATAATGTGTTTTTCAGTAGGGTCCTGCTAAACTACAAAAAACTTTACAGTGTTAATTAAATGTAAGTATAGTAATGCTATTTAGGAACTAGGCTAAATATATAAGGATAATTAAAGCTAGGTATCAATAAAGCTATTTAAGTAGACTTTAAAAGTTTGAAGGTCTTTTGCTTCACGAATTTCTTGCGGCAATTCATTCCAGTCATTGCTGGCAAAATTGACCGTTGTCCAATGTCCCCATTTATGTCTCGCCGCTGATTTACGTATGTTACACTTAGACCTAGTGTTATAAGCATGCATATCCTGATGATATGTGATTTCAAAATTATAAGAGAAAAGATTATTCTTACATTTATAAATCAATATCAAACGGTTAGCAATCCTCCTGGTCTTTAGATCTTTCCAAGCCAACTTCTTCAATGCAGAACTGGCTGACGATCCATAATCCAGGTCCAAAATTATACGTGCTACCTTATTTTGTAAGATTTGTAAATCTGCCATAAGGGTTTCATTCCCTCTGTCTCCCCATACTGTGTCAGCATAGTCAAAAGATGGCAAAATATAAGAATTATAAAATAATATTCTACTATGTAACGGTAAATAGTTCTTAATACGCTTTAGTAGTCCCAGCTTCTTATTAATCTTAGATTTAATAGATTCAATGTGATCGTGCCATGTCAAGTTATTACTTATTATCACGCCAAGATACTTGTATGACTCCACTTCTTCCAGGGGTGCATCTCCAGGGGTGCATCTCCAATGTTGCTCTCGTTGCTGTGCAGCTGCTATGGCAATACTTCTTGTCAGTTCCATATTCATATTTAATTAATAATTAACACTATAAAGCCTGGGTATCCCCATTTGACGAGTAAAAATGAAAATGGGGGGGGGGTCAAAGAAAAACATTCTAATATGTAGGGGGGGTCATCATTAAATTTCTGCTCTTTTAAGGGGGGGGGGCTTTCAATTTTAAAAATTTAGGAAAAAAAAATTCACCCTCCCCCCCCTTCCATAAATAATGACCGGTCCCTAAGGTTAATTTCTTGTTGGAAAACTCCTCAAAATGCAGGACATAGCTTATCTGAGCTTCAAGAAATTCAAAATTTTCTGGAAGGTATGCCCCCAGACCCCTCTTGAAGCTTGCACTTTGGGTGGTCGACTCGGTTGTCTCAGAATCCTAGTTATGGCCTGATTCGCTGCCCTATGACGTATACTTATTAGTTAAACCCTGTATATATATGCTGGTAGCTGCAGTGATACAGACTTGCCAACTGGAACTTCCCCAGGTCCCCTGCTAAATATGTCCTCTCCAGTTACACATGCTTAAAAGAGGCCCTGAATTTTAATTGCACTATTTTAATAGCTATTGAGTACTGTAACACAGAATTATTTGGCAAAGGAAAAATAGAAAGCTGGTATCTTTCACGTTTCTGAAAGGGTGGGTCGTAATTTTTCAGCACCAATTTAAGGGTGGGCCACAAATTTTCGTGCAGCTATTAAGGGGTGGGCTACCAAAAGTGCAGACACCAAATATATGATTTTCCCAGCCCTCCCCCTCTTTTACTTTATGACCGGTCCCTTAACCCCAATAATAATACACCTTGTTTACCTCACAATGTTGAAACAGTTTTGAGTAAAAATGAAATAACTGAATTTGCAGCTTCTGCAATAGCTAAATTAAAAGCATCAAGCAGTATGGTTCAGTCAAATATAGACCATGTAGTTCATGAAAGTTCAGAGTTGTTTTCAAATGTAGTCATGTCTCTTAAAACCAAAACTGAGCAGATGTTAGACAACAAAGATATTGAAAAGGATGATCCAGAAAGGATAGAACTTCTTGAAGCATTTGACAATGCTCAACATCCATATGAAAACCTGGAAACTGCATATCAACAAGAAAAGTACTTTCATCAGAGTGGTCACTTTATAAAACCCTGGGAAGTACCATTCGCTACTGCTTTTTATCCCTGTCACAACCCAGTTACTAATCATGTTGACCAGGTAGCTAGACATGTGACATTCCAATACATTCCTTTGAAAGACTTGCTTAAGCACATACTTGAAAACAAAGGATTTATGAGAGCCATACAGCAATATCAACCCAGCAGAGATGGCATTATGCGAGATTTCCATGATGGAGAATTCTGTCTTGGACATGTCTTTTTTTCAAATGGAAGAAATGTTGCCCTTCTTTTGTATGTGGATGATTGCGAGATAGCTAATCCGCTTGGATCAAAGGCAGGGATACACAAAATAGGTGTAATTTATTGTACCATTTTAAATCTACCACCCAAATTCCGTTCATCATTGTGTAACTGCTATCTTGTTGCATTGTACAACACAGGGGATGTTAAAACTTATGGATTTGAGCCTATTTTGGCAGCACTTGTAACAGACATCAAAGAGTTGGAAAGCCGGGGACTACACATTATCACAGATGTGTTTGAGGGAGATGTTCATGTTGGTATTGCCCAGGTGACTGGTGACACTGAATGGCATCTGTGGTTTTATTGAAAGCTTTGTTGGCCATCATTGCTGCAGGACTTGCAAGATACATCTGGTAGAAATGCATCGTGCATTAACAGCAAACTCAGATATGCTTTGGGATCATGACAACTATACTGAAGACCTGGATCTAAATGATCCATCCTCTACTGGCATTAAAGCTCCATGTCTCTTGAATGATCTAGAACACTTCCATGTTACCACAAACTATGCACCTGATGTTATGCATGATTTGTTGGAAGGAGTTGCTGGTCTGGAAGTTCATCTAGTTGTTGCAGATTTAGTCCAATCTGGTTTCTTTGACCTGGACTTGTTAAATAGCAGGATTACTAGCTTTGATTATGCTCCTTGTGATTAGAAAAACAAGCCATCCCCAATCACTAAGCATAAGATTCAGAATCCAGATGGTGCAACAGGGCAAACTGCATCACAGATGTGGTGCCTTATTCAAAATCTGCCTCTAATGATTGGCGACTTAGTTCCAGAAGGCAATGAACATTGGGAACTACTCCTAATTCTACTTGAGTGTATGGATTTTATCTTCAGCCCAGAAGTTACTGTTGAGGAATCCTTTTTTCTGAAACAACTAATTAAAGATCATCACAGTTACTTTTTGCGCTTGTATCCAAATAGTCATTTGAAGCCAAAACACCATTTCATGACCCACTACCCCAGCCAGATCCATCAACTAGGTCCACTGATGCTTGTGGAGCTTGTTGACAGAGATGTGGAAATAGGGACTGGATCTACTACCCTAGTTGTTTCTCTAGAAAGAGCACAGTTCTTGAGCAGAGCAATTGGCGTTGATCTTCTGAGTGAAATTTTTGTTGCTAAGTGGGTAACTGTGAATGGGATCAAATATTGCAAAAACACTCTAGTAATCAGTGCAAAATCAGAGGATTCTTTCCCCATCTTTGAACTAATTGTCTACATTCTATGTATGGGAACAAAGATATCATTTATAACTGCCCCCTGGCAGACTGTCAAGTTTGATCGCCATACTCACACATATGCTGTTCAACCAGCTGTCAATCCAATTTGGTCTGTCATCCCAGTTGAAAACTTATATGATCATCAAGCATACCATGCTTCAAAATCTTATAAAGAAGGGGAACATTTAAGTTATGTTTCCTTACGCTATAGGATAAATTAACTTCAGGTAATGATAATGACATAGAGGGTTTGACGTCGGTCAGTTTCAAGCAACATTGCAATATTGTCCCACAATATTGCAATTTTGATAGTCAGATTGCTCTAGCAATTTGCAACCGACGCAAACAAATTGCAAGTTGAACTTCACAACGGATTTGTAAACAAAGCCCTTGATTGGACCATACCATAAGAAAGAGGGAAAGCCAATCAAATAGTCTGAGCAACTGGATTGGTACTTTCCTCTTATAGTCTAATCAGGGGCTTTGTTTGCAAATATTTTGTGGATTTCAACTTGCCATTTGTTCTCGTCAGTTGCAAATTGCTAGAGCAATCTGACTATCAAAATTGCAATATCGTGGGACAATATTGCAATGTTGCTTGAAAGAGAACATCCGGTTTGACTGTAAAAAGGTGGGTTTGCTCAGGGTCTAATCTTAGAGTTAACTTGACGCCAACCTGATCTACTGTTAATTGTACACTTTAAATTTGGCTTGAGTGTTGACCTCAATGACATGATAATACAGTATATACTTTAAGTTACAAATTAGTCTGGTGATTACATTAAAATTCCAATGTAGCTATGGTGCATGCACTATTGAACCTTAACTAATTTGGTTGAATACAATGTAAATGCATCCTAGGTACCTTGTCATTATTGCCTTGATGGTTATGGGTTTTAATATACATAACAAATTAACAATGTAGTTTTCAATTCACCATGCACTCATGCCTATGAAGTCAACACTATGAGGGTTCCTCCATAATTAGGTAACCCTTACACCATATATCTACTGTATAGACAGAAATACCGGTAAACAATTAGGCAGTATGTGTAGGGTTGAATATCATTAAAACCAATTGTTTACCTAAAAATGGTATATTTGTTACACAATTAAGGCAGTGCTTACCATGGACTCAGCTATCAGTGTCACACAACTACCAGATGCACCACCACCAATAATGTGCAATCAGCAAGTAAGTTCCTTAATTATAAATTATATTTTTGAAAAAATTATAATCATCTATCATAAGCAGGAGTAAAAGAATCTGGTATAAGACATGGGAAGAATGCAGTTAGACATGTCTAACATTACATTGCAATGCTGATAGGCTGTTGTCTATACAGTACGTATATTTACTTTTGTCTTATACAACTCTAGCTGTTATATTTCACCTATAGGCATCCACTTCAAACGTCACAGCTATATCCCCTTCAGAAAATACAGAGATTTCACCAAAGAGATTCAAACCTGATTTTGTAAGTTGATAACAAATTTATTTTTAACAAAAGTAATGCATCTGCCATGTGATTCCATACAGTTCGTATAAAACAAGTTCCTTTTAGAATACGTAGTGCACCTTCAATTCCAATTTAATTTCATAAATAACTAGTAATTAATATTATTGCATAATTTACATGTAGAACATAAGATCAATACTTGAAAAATCCATACCTGGAGAAAATATCCCGAAAGACTTGGGAAGTGGAAATCTTTCAAGAAACAACAGACTAAAAAATGGTTCAGATTCTGGTAGCTGAGCTCATGACAATGTTTGGAGACAGGTTTGGCTATTATGCAGTATTCGGTGTACATAAGTTTGGATTTCTGGTGTTCCTGTTTACTCATGGCAGATTTTTGGCTCATCACTGGAAGACCATTATTGCATCATAATATACTTCTTGTTCTTTTCTTTTATAACAGACCAAAATCGGATATAAAAATGGCAATGGCAAGGGCTGTCGTTGAGGACTTTCCTTTTCTGAAAGATGAAGAAGGCCAGGGATTTGTAAGTGTAATTGCTAGTAAGATCATGATTAAATGTCCTACATACATACATACATGTAGAACTGCTGACTTTGTACAAAACCATTGTATTAGGATTTTGGTACACGCTGCTTACATGTGGGTAGCCTGCATTGTTGCTAAAGCTGGAGTAATAACGAGGAACAGAATTGCTGCAACTTGTAACAAAATTAAATGCCTCGTGATTTGTAATGTATGTGTAAACATTGAAATTAACATGCGCATAAATCAGTATGCATAAATTTTGTTTCAAGTTGTAGCAATTACTCCACCTTAATTGCTATTGTCAATTCTGAATTTACTGAAAGAAAGTATTAAGTAATTTAGACACAGTTGAAATATTATAAACACATTTAATCACATACAAAAC